ATCCCAACTCGAAGATGGACAGCTTCCACGGTTCAATGTAGCAGTCGAGACATGTGCAATGCCATCTAGCCGCTCAGTCAATGACAGGTGCCGAAGGTGTTTAGGAGAGTGTTTCGCCAAATGATTTGGGACTCGCATGTCGCAACAGCCGCAAAACTTCGTTGCAACAGCACTCGAGGCTCCATTTGTCTAGGTAGTAAGTTTCGAGGCTTGAGGGTGTAGGAGATTCGGGGTGGCAGTGGCCTCGAGCTTTGAAAGCAGCTGCCTGTGCTTGACCTTGGCGCTGTTGGCTTTGCAGAAGGCCTGATGGAGCACGAGGGAATGCACTTCTGTTTGTGTGTGTGTGTGTTTGTACACATGCAAATACAGAGTTCCAAGAAGTGAGGGGTGTGTGTGTACGTAATGACGTAATTGCATACATACACGTATACAGAGACACACACACACAGACACACACACACACACACACACACACGCATGCGTATGTATGCAAGCATGTACGCATGCATGCATGTAGGTATGGATGTGTGCGTCCATGCATATTAGTGTCCATGCGCACCGAGCTTCCCGGCTAGCTGGCTGGCTGGCCGGCCGGAGGGATGGATGGATGGATGGATGGATGGATGCAGTTTCAAAGCACAAAGGTGTTTGCATACCGTATGTACATCGTCAATATCTTTTATGTATATGTAAATTTCATATGTATGTATAGAGATGTATGTATACACATGTCAGAAACTTCATGTGCACACACACACACACATATGTACGTGCGTACATACGCACATGCGTACGCAAGTACATACATACATCTACACATGCATGCTTGAACACATGCAGACATATACAAAGCCATACATGCATACACACAGATGCACTCGCACAGACAGACTGAGGCTGGTAGGCATACACAAACACAGATAGCCGGATGGATGGCTGGTGGTTGGTTAGACAGACAGACCTGCAGATGGATTGAACGAACACATGTGAGACAGATTGTTCAGGAAATACTTCGCGGGCATGAATCAGACCGCTCTTGCAGGCATGCCCGGGTGCATTCCGTCTGCAGGACCGCCAGGGACTTTAGAGCTTTCGGACTGGAGGCTTTCGGAGATCGGATGGAGGCTTCGGCTTCGATGCCGGGTTTCTTCAGGTGCGGGATGGAGGTTCTGCAAGCAGTCGAATCGTGTGAAGGCCAATATCAGTCTTACACCCGGCAGGGCCCGTGATCTTAGCTTCCCGAAGCCTCTGTCAACCTCAAACCGAAAGTCCTCACACCATATCCTCCAGTCCATTCCTGGCGGCTGAAACATTCATGCAAACATGTACACACATCAATATACGTACATACATGTGTTTTCATGTCCAAACGTGTTTATACCTACTATATGTATACACACACATATTATATGTGTATATGTATATGTATATTCATAGTTACATACAGATACATGCACATGTATGCATGCATGCATGCATGCATGCATACATACATATGTATACATACATATGTATACATACATACATACATACATACATACATACATACATACATACATACATACATACATACACACATACATACATACGTACATACATACATACATGCATACATACATATAAATATAGACAGATACTTACATAGATATAGATATGCTCTCCACATATATATATATATATATATGTACAAGTTGTATGTACACATATGTATATATGCTGTATGTATATAGTCCTTTCCCTTATGATTAAACCCCTCCCTCTCCTAATGCCAAGTAGACTTTCCATGAACACTAGCTAATATCGGGGGTTTTGGCCTAGAGCACTTATAGACCCACGCTTACCGCTATCACCCTTGGTGGGGCGGCAAGCGGCCAGCTAAATGCGACAAACCAAGTGCCAACTGGAAAGACTTCTCGAAAAAGACGGTGTTTGGGAGTCCAACCTCGAAATCACAGCCGCTGCAGTGCGCAGAGGGTGCCTCTGCTTTATACATATGTATATGTCTTTGTGCATGTATGTATGCATGTATGTATGTATGTATGTATGTATGTATGTTTGTATGTATGTATGTATGTATATATGCTAATGCATTGCACTGAACATATTTATTTGTTTCAATCAGGCCACCGCCTCTTCTCCGTTGCGCTTTTAGCAGCTGTGCTTGTGGTCCTTGCGCCCGGGGCGAGGCCAACTAAGCACGGAATAGGAAGCTGAAGTGGGAGATGTAAGATAGTTCCTAGAGTCTTAGAAATGTGAGGGGGCGCCATGGACGCTTGTTAGTGTTTCCTGCCTCAGGCCGGCCACAGTATGCGACATACGCTTGTCAAGCAAATATTTGGTCTTGGGTCCGTGTGGTGGAGTTCGGATTTTTGATTTTCGATGGGTTTGCATAGCATTTGCGACGATACTCTGGCGTGTTAAACCTTGACAGTAGGATAACAAGTACATACATACATCCCGCACAGCCTGTCTCGCGAAACGGGCAAAATGCACTTTGGGTCATTGCATTTTGAGCCTGTGCAGTGTCTTCGAGACCCCATGGCCCATGGTGACCTGTGAGGTATTTCTCAGTTCTCAGCCCAGCCTCCGACCAGGCCATTGGCTTTTCTGTCGCCAGCTGCGCCAGGCCTTTTCCGGACAAGTAGCTACACGTCCCTTGCTCCCCAACGGCCACAGCTGCGTTACAACCCCAAGACTCTGCTAAACTGTCCAGTTACGGCCACGTGGGTGAGCTGCTGACAGTATGTACGCCGGGGTGTTGTGGCAGGTCAGGGTACGAACCCGCGCCTTTCACAGGCGACATCAGGCCTGGAGAAAGTAAGCTTGCACGTCGGCTTTGGGGTTTGGTGGGCAGATTCATGTGGCTGGGTTATGCGGGGGTTTGCATGCTGCAGAAGCTAAAAGGGCTGTTCAAAGATGTCTCAAGGAGAGTTGAAGTAGCAGCGAGCATTGCAACGCATCGTGTTCCTGGTCCTCGCTGCAATCCCGTCCCTCCTCGCTATCCTGGGGGTTCCGAACCTGTCGAATCCGCACCTTGAAGCTTCAGGGGAAGGCGTGTTCTGTTCTGGTAGATCCCACTCCCTTGACGCCGAATCGTTTTCTTGTTGAATACCGCCTCGTTTGCCGCTTTTTCCCAAATCATCTCGTCGGAGATGTTTGCAGGTGGTGGTGCTGTTCAGAAATCTTCCTTCCGTAGGTGAATTGGAGCAAAACATACCAAGAGTCTGCCTCCAGTGTCACGAGTCACGAGTCATGGGTTTCTACAGACTCCTACTGCCCCCAAAGCGTCCACACCCGAAGCTGTCACATGCTGCTAGTGCGTCTGTTTCTCGAAAGCCCACATCCAGGTCAAGTCTTTGCAATCGGGGCACAGCAAGGGTGCACGTCAGCCTTGGCCGTGGCGGCAGGTTGCCTTGCTCTGGGCAGGCGGGAAAAGCCTCGAGTATCCTGTCTTCAGTCTTCTGTGTTGATTGAGCCTTTCTCCTTCGTCAGGGTGCGGGGCTGCGGGGTGGCCTTCTCAGTCGTGCCGTTTTGGGCTATGCTTGCTCATGGTTCGTCATAATGCTAAACACAAATCGCGCTAATGATACAGGGTTCACGCGTTCTGTTGGGAGTTCTGGCGTTTGCATGTAGTGTGTTGCCTGCCTAGCACGTTGGGCAGCAAAGCTCCCACTTAGTCAATGACTTTCACATCTTGGGATTAAGGCGGACGGCTCAACAGCCGTTTATGCGGTTTCCAAAAGCGGGGGATCGCACAACCGACATGAATTCTGCAAGCCCAAGAGGCAGCTTTCTCGTGGGGTCCGAGTGCAGCGGCGTGCAGAGGCGGAAGACTGAAAAGAGATTCGGAGCTTTCATCGGTGGCTTTGGATTTGGATTGAACTCTGGCATTATCGAGTTCGTTGTTGTTTGGACTTATTTGGTTTTGCATGTCTACAGCAGCTCATGTACGACTTACGGGTTCCAGTGCAGGGTTTGATGCAGAAGAAGGCTGAATGGAGCGCTGTAGTTTGAGATTGCCAGTGCAGGCAGCTGGTTTCTTCTTTTCTGTGGATTGTGGACCATTCTGACCTAAGATCCGTCATAGCGGCCATAGCGCTGTTTGATATATGCATGCATGCATGCATGATCATGCATGCATGCATGAATGTACGAATGTATGAATGTATGAATGCATGAATGTATGAATGAATGAATGAATGTATGTATGTATGTACGTATGTATGTACACTTGCATACGTATGTATGTTTGCATATATTATATACACATATGAAAGCCCGGGGGCGGGTTTCGTGCTTGACCAGGTTCCTGCACCCTGCGCACTGCATAGCGAGTATTCAACAAGTAGGTCCCTGGGTTTGACATTGGATTAGGCAGTTCAGCGTTTGCATTGCTAGACCTGGAAAAAGCCGAGGTCAAGAATAGTTTGGCATAACACCTCTCCAAATGCTACTCGGTTGAGTACTTGCTCGAACCCTGCAAGGGCAGTAGATGCCTTCAGCTACCACTGGCTGGCTTCTCGTAGCTTGTCCCCATACTCGATGGGTGGATAATTCCTTAAGTGGTGGTCCTGATGGCCCCACAGCTGCAATCACGGTATCACGCAAAATTCCGCTGTACAGCTTGCTTAGCCTGCAGACCCTGCAATTGTCAGGAGGCGGAGCCGCACTTGGAGCCCTCTGAGTGCCTCATGCGGCAGTTTTCACGCTTTGTTCGGAGACACTTGGGGGTTGGGGGTTTGAGATCTAGATTGCAGGCTTTGGGTCACCCTCCAACTCCCGCCACAGTTGGCGATGAGTTGCGCAGCTTTGAGAACGACATCCCGATTCTGCATGTTGTGGTGGAATGCCGGCATGAAGACTCGGCAACCTTGAGGCTAAGTTCTAGCAGAGTTAGTCGAAACTTTCCCGACGGTCACACGGGAATTCCTCATCAATAGCCTTCCACCTAGTCGTTTCTTAGACAGCTTAAGCGCCGGTTCAGGAAGTCCATCGAGACAATGATGAAGTTCTCCAATCAGTACGCCAAGGCTGGAGCGGCAGAGTTTAGGCTTGGCGTTGTTCCGCATGTTCCGCGCTCCGAGTATCTGCAGGGCTCCGGTTCTGCAAGAATCGACCCTTGAGCAGGTCAAACAGAGTCACTTCAGCAGTTTTTTGGGTTTTGATCTTCAGCCAACTTGTAGACATGAGTAGCTTGATGACTGCCACTTACGACGAAGCCTTGTGCCTTTTTCCCCGCCGTAACCTCTGAAACCGCATGCATGTCGTTGAGGGCCACCCCTGTGCGGCAACTACATATGACCTCTTGCTTCCACAGTTGTTTGCTGCTCTGACAGGTCACGGGCACGAAGTACTGTGAGGATAAGAGCGTGCCGGCCGTGGTCATTGTCGGACTGGCGTTGCACAAGGAGCTGCATTCAAGCTTTGTACTTTCAACTGGGATGGCTGGCTTGTCCGAAGCCCCAGAGAAGTGGTATTTGTAGCTGGGGCCTCCCCTTGTGTCAACTTGAGAAAGATGCTGTCTTGTGTTGTTCCAATATCCTGGCGTGAGTAGGTGCCAGCAGAGTAGCCGTAAACCTGGACGGAGATCGCAAGTGCCGGTTGCTGGTTTGAAAGGTTTGTCAAGACTGAGGATTGTAGCTCCCGCAGATTCATCCGTGTGCGCACGCGATGCAGGACATGACAACAGACCTACTCAGCTCCTCGCGCGAACTCCTGAAGATAGGATCTGAAACCCAGCGACGAACTCTGGCAAACCGCGAATGTCGGTCATGCCATGCAACCCTTGCAAGGCTGAACAAGCCCCGTGAGCCCTTCGACACCCCTCCGAGCACGTCTTTAGGAGACCTTGGGGGCTCCACTATGCCCTTGCCGGCACTACGAGGACAAGGAGAAAGAGGCCCGCCCAGCTTTGTTTTGCTGCTGTCCACGGCGACTTCAGCGTGGACAGTTGCTTCCAGGGTTGCAGCCGAACCCAGATGCTGCCGTACATTCTTTTGTATCGGCTCCAATGTCCAGAAACATCCACAGACGGGTGCTATCCAATGCTATCTAGAAGATCGAGGTCTAGAATCTAGACCTCGATCTTCTAGATAGCATTGGATAGCACCCGTCTGTGGATGTCTAGAAGTCTAGGATTGAATTTCGCTCGTATTCAGCGCTTGTAAGGGTCGGGGACGGCAAAACTACTCTTTTCTTCCTTTTCCTGGACAAAACTGCATGCAGCCAGTTAGTGAGGGCTTGCGCCTTGCGACCCCCAAGTGCCAAGAACAAAACAACCTACTGCTCGAATCTGCATGCATCGCCAGCTTTGAAGACAACGGAGTTTTCGGTGGCCGTTGCCACATGCAGATTTCAGAGCGAAACAGAGGACAATCCGCTCTGTCTCCAGGTGAAGGATGGGTATTGGAACTGTCCGTGCGTGGGTGGCTGAGTTGTAGAGCAGTGCTCGCCGGACATAGATTGGGTTCGGTGTTTTGCTTGGGGGTTCCTGCAGCTTTTGGTTGTCAAAACAACATGTACCAAGTTCTGTGGGTCTTGAATTGCAAGTTCCCCAATCGCACCAAATTTGCACCCCAAAAGCTCTCGACGCTCAACCCTATTGCGCCCAGGTTCCAATGCGTGAAAGGCACGAGTGTCACTGCATGCTCTTCCTGAAGGACGACAATCCATTCGCGCAAAGGGCCAAGGTTTTGACGGACAGGGGCTGAAGCTGACGGGCTGCTGTGACGTGTTCGGGCTTCGGCTCAGATAAGCAGCTCCGTTCCAGCTTGCCCACTCATTCTGCGGCGTCTGCGGTCAGGTCTGAGTGCTCCAATATCGATCTGGAGGAGATCATGAAGCTGAAGGATGGTTAGAGCGCTGATGAAAGGTTTCTCTGCTTCTGGAGGAGTTTCATGGCAGTCACAGTAGGGTTACAGTGTAAGGGTCTCCATCTCTGAACCAGGACTCCGTAGTTGCAGTGCTACTCTGGAAGCCACCCGAAGCCATGTTGTAATCGTTTGGTCGACTACAAGTTTCTGCTGCAATTTTCAAGGGAGGGCCATGATTCGGCTCGTTGTGAAAGCTGGTTCCACTAGTTTTGTCCTGGGAATCGCGGGTTTGGGATGTTGGCAGGGCCGCGGCCTTTGAATTTTCTGCTGAATGTCCACTCCCGGCAGACCAACGGCAGAAGTCTGTGAATAGCACGGCGACTCGCGAGTGGTTGTGAGGAGCAATCCTTGGCTTTATGCAAACTGTTGTCAATCTTACAATGACAAGGAGCCAACTCATTAAGGACTGTCCAACCTGAAGTCAGAAGCTGCGCTGACCTTGGGTAAGTAAACACAGTTTGCCTGGCGCTCTTTCCGACAACTCTGCACCGAGTTTGAGACTTTCAGACGACATGTGCCCTACAGGGCTGGCAATACCCGTATCTTGCCACTCGACTCTCGGGAGCAGCAGCTTCAAGTGCCAGCCGCTTTGTGCTGTTGCTCGGAGTTGAAGTCTGGACAGGTATTCTAGCGGCTAGCGTCTTACTCCAACCAAATGTCATTGCTAATTTGCAACACCTGCCCAGCAAAAGGGGGGGCTTCCTAAGTAGGCGGCATCCGCCGTTTGGAGGAAAATCAATGCCTGGTGCAGGCTGCTACATGCCACCGGCCACACTTCATACTCATTTGACGAACGTCACGATGGTGCATGCGTGAAGATGTGCAAAACACAGCTTGGCTGCAACCACCATAGACGCTGCCCTCGAGCTAGCTGTCCCCGGGAGTAGAGGGCCACCGGCGGCGGAGCAAAAAGAGTGGTGCTTCGGCATTTCGAGATCATGGTCTGTTGCTTCGAGATCATGGTCGTTCCTTGAGTCTAAGCCCTGATCCCAAGGGACTTATTTAAGGCCGGTCATGTCCTCTAAAGCATGTGAGGAGAACCTTCCGCCCTGCCCTACTCTTCAGGTCGCAACGACAAACGGTGCTGAAGTAAGGTTCAGCTGCATGAATAAGAAACTTGGTCCTTACCTCGCATTGTTCAGGTCCAGGTCTTCTGTGTTGTGAGACACAGCTCGGCGACGGGCACGTAGCACAAACTGCGGGAAGAATGCTTACTCTCCTCGTTCGGGAATTTAGAATGTGCAGGATAAAGAAGCTCGTCACAGGTTGTCAGTGTTTCTGTCGTGTCGATACAGGCCCAGATTGACGACAAAGATTGCCTCGTCATTGGTGCGGCTGGCGAGATGTGGGAACCGCTGGAGATTGCACGCATTCTGCAAGTCAGGTGAAGGTTCGAGCTGAAGGTGTAGGCACGCTGACGAAAGTTTGAGACATCTGCTCGAGCAACACAAGTCCGACGCACCGACAGAAAGAGATGCTCAAGTTGCGCAAGGATGAGTAGCGACGAGTACATGAGCATCTGCCCCCGAATCGGGCAAGCATCGAAGCAAAAGAATCCTCACCCAGCAAGCGGGGAAGATTCTCAGTCCTATCAACGATTGTCAACGCAAGGCGAAGCAAGACTTGCTGGGTGCATCCAGACTACCGAGAGCTGACTTTCAGCCACTTGATGCTTGTGGAAGAATCACGCTAGAACTCAGACACATCATGTAGGCTCTGACCAGCGACTCCCCGTCCTTCTCACTCACGACAAGCAACCTCGATGCCAGGCCTGGAGATTCTGGAGGTGCGAGGGCGGGTGTGCTGAGCCCAAACAACTAGATGCTGACAGCTTCAGGCACTGCCTTTGCAATTGAGAGCAACTGAGCGGAGAGATAGCATCTCATAGCAGCTCAAGATCGAGCGAACGACTGCAGGTGACCTGGACGCAGGACTTGGGTCAAGGGCTGAGGCGGGACGATTAGGGATGGAAAGGCTCGTAAAAGGGTTTCTGGAAAGCTGCGTCCAAGCCATGGTCAAAACATTGTCGCGTGCATCATTCAATTCAAAGTTCGGATTGTCAATTTTTGCGCTTCGCTTGGGCAGTTTCTCTTGCAAATCTGAGCAGGCTCGTCAACAGAGGGCCCGTGGACGCCGTGAAGCGCGAGGCCGCTTGCAGCATGATGCTTGCAGCGTGATCTGGCGAAACCCAAAGATCGAAGTCTTGGAATCTGTGGCCTCGAAAGCTGAAGCTTCACCATCGCTCAGCAAAGATGGCCGAGACATTGCGGAAATCCGTTGGTATGCTTGCTGACTTACTGGAATGCGACAGCTCTGCATTCTCGTGTTTGGGGTTACGGTATGCAGGGTGTATCAACACAGGGCGCCATGCAGCCGGAATGAAACCAGCCAAGCTGGAAATTGAGAGGCTCTTCTTTTCTGTTTCTAGGACTTCAGATCCCGTGTATGAAAACAGTCGCGCTCTGTAAACTTCGACAGTAACTTCGACTACATGACTAAATTGGCTGTGGCTTCGAAGGCAAATACCTCACGCAACCCATCAGTTCTAGAACATTCTCGTATCATAGCGTGATTCCGTTTTCGAAGGCCGCAAGTTGTTCGTTTCAGGTCAGCGGCTGCATGACATCAGCTGCTACGCTGCTACACAGTAGACACGGCCATACTCGGTGTGTGTGTGTGTGTGTGCCTGTCATGGCAACTGCACTCTGGCAAACCTCCTCTTGCGGACATGCATGAATCTCCAGCACGCAAGCCTTCCTGATCAGGCCGTAGTGCTCCACCACCGCGATAGAGAATCAGCTCCCTGGCAAGCCATGTTGGAGTGGGTGACCATGTAAATCCCTATGCCAGCTTGCAAGCAGGAGCGATCTACGCACGTTTCGCTAGACAGAGACGGGTTTTGAGTTCATCAGGGCTTCGGAAAGCGTCGCAAGGTTCCAGGCAGCATCTGAGGCTTCAAGATCCAAGACCCAGATGTAATCCCTGTGTTCCAGCCCTCGGATTCGTGAGCTTTCGGGTTGTTTGGTTGCTGTGGGGCTTCAGGGCAGTGGACAGGACCCCATTTGGAAAAGCTGTGCAGTCCAAGGCAAGAGTTGCATTGTCTGTAAAAACGCCGTTGCAAGCGGTCCTAAACTGCCTGATTTCTAAGACCTAGTTGACTTTCCGTGAGCAACTTTCCACAAGCAGTGATGCAAACGTTCCAGTCTCCTAACAGACAGGTCTAGGCCTGCCCTCTGGTATCGAAGCCCTGATGCTCGCGTGCAGTCCCAGCCTTTTGGGCTGAGGTTGAGTGGAAGATTTCAAACATCCGACGGCGCATAGAGGAGGCAGCTAAGCGTCCCAATGTGGCAGGAAGCATATGGTACGTGGCCTACCAGCATTCGTAACTTCTTGCATGACCCCTGATGGAGCAAGAGTTCTTTCGCTGGAAGGATTCGGAATCTCAGCTGTGACCACAGCCGACAAGAAACATCCTGCATTGCTGGATACTGGATCCTTCCTACCCAGGGCAAGTTACGAAGCCACAAATACCAAACCCACAAACGCCAAATCCTTGTCCAGTTGCCCATGGGCGCCTGCATGTGCAGCCCTCTCTTCTCCGCTGCCGGGGTGCGGGACATGCACCTGGAGTCTACCTGGCTCCAATTGGGGTTTCAGGGTCTGGCTGAAATTTTAGTTTTAGGGTTAAGCAGTCCACACTTGCACGTCGAATTGGTGTGTTCGCTTCAGCTGGCCACGGAACCGCGAATAAGCATGGCGTTCCTGGCAGCTTGTTCCATCATCAACGGGTGTCAGTGTTCTTCCATCTGCTGATGAATTCGTAATGTGTGTGCTGTGGCCATTGCGCATTGCCCGTGATCCGAGTGCAACCACAGATATTACTAAGCTCGATGGGTGAAAACACTCAAACGGCTGCGTCGGCAATTGCCAGGTTCTATCCGAACGGCCTGGAGGGGAGCAAAGAAGGGTATTGCGGCTTCTATGTGAGGCGGGATCGGACACGCACGAGTTACATACTATGATGCAAAGGGATTTCAACCGCCAGTGTCATGCCATTAGGTTGTATCATATTCAATCGATGCCCGAAGCTGGAGCCAGGGTTGTTCTTAGACCGCCCGGATGTTTCTGAGGGCTTCCAGGCGCAAGGTCGGTTTGTTTCGTTTGGAAGGCTGGCAGGTTGATACTATAGGATTCGAAAAAATCGTGCATCTGGAGCTGGGCGGTGCGGTTCAGAAACCTGAAGTTCTGCAGAGTGCTTCAATTAGATTCAGCTTTTCCGGATGTAGGATCTCTGCTCTGGTTCTCAGCAGCAGCACCTTGTACTTGCTCGGTCTTCGCTCAGAGCATTGTTTTCCTTGAGCTGTGCGGCAGATGAGCCACCGCAACTGTAAACTACCTCTGCCCCATGCAGTGCTCAAAGACTCCAATGTCCTCATAGTCTGTGCTGCGTTTCAGTCTTGAACACCTCACCGATGCGGTATGACAACCTGCAGACAGGTGTCCTACTGGCGAGTATACGCTCAACATCACTCTCTTTGTCGGCACCGCAAGACGGGTTCAAGCCTTGGTCATTGAGATTTGCTTCTGCTTGCTGCAGGCGCTGATCTGCACGCGCTTATCAGCAGTGTACAGGTTGAGAATTAACCAAACCCCAGCCTTCAAACAGGAAGCCGCTGGTCCGGCAGACCCAAGCAACACCCGTCTTGGGGCTTCGTCCTGATAACACTGCTCTGGTAGTTGCACACATGATAGGTTCATCGCTGTGATCATTTCGGCACCGTTAGCGATGCTGTCATCATGATGCTCCTAATCGGAAGGAGGCCCAGAAATATCTTCAAAAGCCCCGGACTCCTTTCTTGGTGGCCCCCGGTAGCCAGGAGGGAGGGAGACAGCGGAGAGAGGGATGGAGCTTCTGTTCACTCAGGGCCCCAGCAAGACGGAATTCAACGGTAATGCTGCCAAAGGTTTGCCAGGGCCTTGGGAGCCCCTCGGAGAGCCCTCCGACAGCCAAGCTTGGCGAACGCGTTGTAAATTAAATGCCTTGTTCCATCATGCAGCCTTGGCGAGAACTGTGCCTATTTCAACCCGCAAATGACGAGAGTTTGCTATCCACCATGATGAAATTCATGCTGGGACTTCCGAGTCTAGACCGTCGGCAAGAAGTCGGGCTCTGCGAATCGTGGATATCATCCTCAACCCGGACTCCCGCACCCCGCACTTCCCTGAATACTGCTGAGCAAACTTTCTTTCCGAACCCAAACCCGTTCCAATTCTTCAAGCCCCTGCACTTTCGTCAGTGCATTTTGCATCAAAGCCTTCAGGACCAAGGCTCAGAGCACTCCGCGACCATCCTTTGACTTTAATCGAGTCCTTACAGAGCTTCCGGCCTTTCGGCAGTGTTTGAGTCTGTTTCTCTGGGTCTGCCACGGCTTACTTCATCAAGGACTGGTGCAACTCACGCTGGGGCTCACATGGAGGGGGCCTGCCCGTCGTGTGGATGTGCCTTGAACTGCGAGTGAAGACCGGCCTGGCTTGCATTCTCGACCATAAGAAACCAGCGGCCGCGAAAATTCGGCGTAGTTCGGCACATTTCTCGTTCTATTGCCGTTAACACTCGACATCCATGGACACCACCACGTCCCCAGAGTCATTTGGAGCCCCCTTTGCTGGGCCAAGCATCCGAGACTTTGAGCCCGTTCTTTCCCAGGCCCGAGTTCTGCCGACTCGACGAGCAGCTGGTGGAGGGGGAGGCTGGCAGAGCTGTAGGGCCTGATACTTGTCTGTTTTCGTCCCGACACGACGTGAGTCCGTCAGATGCACATGCACTCATAAAAGGCTTCGTGCGTGATTGGAAAGAGCAAGGGTGCGGCAAGCGAACCCTGTGTACATGAGATGTTCTATGCCCAACGCCAGGAAGACCTCATTGCTGGCATTGTCCTCCAGAACCCATTGCAGGACGGTGCCAGCCTAGCCACTCAAACCCCGAAACCGCGAGCTGAAACTGATTCCTGACATTCACACAGCGAGGGCATATTGTACATCCTCTCCTGGCCAGCTGGGAGAGGACAGATTCTATACACAACTTCGAGCTCGAACCCTTGCCAGGAGCAGGAAGAAGACGAGCGAACTTTGTACCTGTGACCTGGTGGGTTGGGAAAAAAGATGCTGTGCGCGCAGCATCTGCAGTCTGGCGAGTCGGTAACAGCTACTCGTAGCGCAAGAGCCGCCTCGGGTGACGGCCGAGCTTTCCAGAAGAAGTCATCGAACTCAGAGGGCTGGCGCAGCACTCAAAACCTAATCGTTTTAATCAGAAGTTTCATGTGCATCATGTTTCTTTCTTTGTCTTCAAGTGAGCTGCCATACCCAAAAGGTTAAGTGAGTCCGTAGACCCGATCCAATGTGCGTCTAAGCCTTTGCGGCAATCTTCGTGGTAGTAGCCTCCAAGTGGGCAATAAAGCCCTGACATGATTTGGACTCTTCATCAATGGTGTTGTTGTTTCGCACGGGTTGCGTCTGGATGAGTCCGCGCGCCAGACCTGCGGCTTGCCAGCAGGTGTTCTGATGCTGCATACATCGACAACGATTCGAGGCTTCAACGCTTCAACCTGGCATCTTGAAGTCCGTGCCGAGAGACTGCACCACACGGCCCGCGGACGTGTCTGGCTGCACCGAGTCTCCCAAATCTTCAATCATGGTGAGTGCAATCGTGCAAGACACCAACCTCCCCGAGCCATGCTGCGCTTTTGGCATCTTTGGCTGCCGCTAGCGCTTGCGAACGGCCAAGGCCGGGCTCTCCTTGACTTTTGGAGGATGCACCCCGGTTTATGTCCTCACCGTCAGAAGTGCTTATGCCTTATGCTTTGGCTGCAACTTTGGAGGTGCTCTGCAATGGCTCAATTGCCTTGGGCCACCGTTCAAGCCTGCTTGGGCATCACTGCAGGCCCGGAAGGGCGAAGGTGGCTTTCAAAATGTTGTTCCGGCAGTGGTTTAGCGGCCGAGGGACCTGCAGCTTTCACCTTTCTCCTAGCGGAATGGCATTGGACCACTTCTTCTGGCGTTGTTTGGGATTGATCCTTCGGAATCCTTCGGTCTTGCGATGCAAGTTCCCGTTCCTGAAGCCAAGAGCATCACTCCTTGAAGTTCGGAATGTATAGTGGCAGTCATAGGTAGCACTAGCAGAAGTGGCATTCAGTACTGCTACTCCTACTACCTCGAATTTCATCAGAAATGATGACGTCGTAGACGACGACCCCACTGCTCCTACTCCTGCTACTGCTACTCCTGCCTACTGCTCCTCCCACTGCTGCTGTTTCTCCTGTTGCCACTGCTGGTCAAGGCGACACTCCTGGAGCTGTTGCAGCGCCAGCCAGATCTGCTGATGACAACGACTCAGGGACTGCGTTCCGGGCTTGTCTCGAGCACCTGTGGCAGAGCGCCTGACGTGATCTGATACGGCTTGAAGCACTATAAGCACTTAGTTATGGTCGCCTGGCCCTCAGGATCGGGCGGCCGCTGCCGCCTGCAGTCGTAATGCTGGTAGAGGTGGGGCTTCCTGTCAATGCGGTCAGGCTTGTGTTGCCCAAGAACGGCATGTGCTTCGGATAAAAAGTATTCCAAGCCTGCCAGTCCGATGTGCTTCTACATTGGAGCACATGGTCGCCCCCGAATATGAAGCCCAGAATGGCAGTCCCTTGGCACGTCGTAAGCCCTCAGCCCTGTGATGCAGCAGAGCCCCGGCAGGAGTTGGAACCAATGTGCCAGGCACGCAAGGACAGCCCTTCCTTGAGGTCAAGGCTGTGTGGTCTTGTGCTAAAGCCCATTATCCTATGTAAACCGATTCCGAAAATGTGCGGGCATGGACGAACAAATCATTTTATGCATGCCTGGCATGCCTGCATGACTGTACTGAAACTTACAAGTATTGAGGAACCCCGCATGAACACAAATCGCTAGCAAGGGAGACTCGGAGGCTCTCTTTAGAAACTTTAGAATGTGAACCTGTCCATGCAGAATCGAGCTATGCCCGGCAAGAAATGGACGCATGCTGGTTGGTCTTTTTGTGCTCGCCGGATCGCCGCGGCTTGTTCATGAACAGCAAATTGTGGAGCCTAATACCGTAAACCGACCTGCACATCTTGCTCAATGCGCTTTCGTTCCCTAGCCCGCAACCTGCAAAACCCACAACCTGAACTTGAACGATTACCTATTACCCAGGGTGCACCCCCAAACCCCTTATTCTTTCCTTCCCTGTTTGCCAAACAGCTATCCCATGCTATCCCGGAGGGAACGATATGAAGCGAAATTCTCAATAAATGCTTCACGAGGACGTGGCAGCACTGCTGGCCTGGACAGGTGGGACCTCGTCAAGGGCTTTAGTTTTGGGACGGTGAGTTTTGGGGGGGCTTGTCTGGATTTGAGTCGCGTGGAAGCATGCTTTTGGGTGGTTTCTGGATAAACCGGTTGCCGAATGGCGCATGTAGGTGGAAGCTACTATGCCGAGTGACTGAAGTGTCCTGTTTCGTGTGTTTGAGCTCAGGTCAGGGTGTGTTGAGAGGTCTATGGTCGACTCGTTGCGACTCGATTCCTTCATGGACCTTCACAAAGCTCGGATATCCCAAGGCCAAAATGCATTCTTCAATCACGTCGCTGAGTATTAGGCGAGAAGCCCGAGACGGACTACGAGGCGCGGTTTCGCATCGACTTCGATTTCGATGTTGGAACTTGCAGAGATTCGGGCTCACCGCTGCTGCATTATGGCATTCTTTTAAGGTTGTTTGCTGGTGTTGGCTTTTGACCCACGTTTGTGGATGCAAGTCGCTTTCGGAATTCTAGTTCTCTTGAATCGTTTATTCACGTATTATACGATGTCGACTCACGTTAATCAGCTGAAGCCATCAACCGTTGACAACTTTTCCGCAGGCCATGGGTTCCCTTCGCTGGTGGATCAACGCCTCCTATGAGGTAGAAGAAGTCGAAGGCCCTGAGACTACTGCACGTGGGTACAGGATGTAGTCTTTCTGTAAAGTTCGCTGGCGATTGAACTGGTCAGGACATAAACAAACTTGATGTTGGTGTCTTAGACATACGCAGGTCACGGTGGAGAATAGTTGTAGGATCAAGATAAGCATCGCGGGGCCTGCGGCTCACGGAAATTTTGCCGGCTTCTGTTGGATATCCGAGTTCATGCAAATTTCAGGGCCAAGTCCGCTGCCGTAATATGCCATGCTTGACCCGGATTTCCAGAGGGGTGATCCGGGGCAGATGATGAAAACTGAACGTTTCTTAGGGCAAACCCGCCTGGCCCTTGGGCATGTATCGTAATCTGCAATGGCAAGCATTGGGACGCAGACTCAATCATGCCAGGCAATGGTTTTTGCCTCTACGGCTGCGTCACCGTGCTTTTCCTCCTGGCACCTTTGCCCATGATTCATTATCTCTGCCGTACCTGCATAAGAGTTTCCATTAGCAAAGCTGAGATCATCGCCACAACCCGATAGGTGGTGGCAAGTGTAGGTGATTAGTGAGTTGCAACCCCAGCAACCCTCAGGAGGACAGGCAGGCCTGTCAGCTGTGCACGGCCCATGCGTATTCTGGTCCACTAAGCTTAACGCTCGAAAGAACCGACCCTGCCACCCTTTGCTTGTCAGAAGTTCATGCTTTTAGGCAGATGCCAGCAGAATTGATCCTGAAGCCAGCCTGCCGACGGCTGCAGGCCTTCAACGAGTTGTCGTGGCTGCTCATCTCGCCAGAAGAGCCTTCGGTGGCCACAGCTGAGAAGAGCATGCAGGACCTCCGCGGCCGTCAATTGAGCTCCAATGCCAGAGCTTCATTCTGCCTCTACAAAGGATGCCACTGTAGGACGAGTTTTAAGCAGAGTTGTGTACATCCGGAGCACGCGGCCGAACCCTTCAACCTCAGCCCCTGTGACACGCAGTACATCTTCATGTCTCTCCATCTTTCGCGCTCGCTTCTTGGCGACCACTCCACACTGGATCTCCTCTCGAGCAGCCCGGCATGATCTTACTTGTGCTGTTTGAGTTTTGGGTTGGGGCAGCCTTGCGATCTGGGTTCTGCATGCTCCAGAGTTCAAGCAGGTTTAAGGTTGTTGGCAAAGAAATCATTTGAGCAAGGCGGGGTTGCGGTCGGAAAAACGTTAACACATCACCTGCGACCATGTGTGCCTTGCTGATGGTAATTTGTCGAGACATTATGTATGAATGTACATAAAAACGTGTATATCTACTTTCCCGTTGCCTACGTATGTATGTATGTATGTATGTATGTATGTATGTATGTATGTATGTATGTATTTACCAGTTGTATGTGTGTGTGTGTGCGCGTATGCATATACCTGTGTTTGCTTTGCAGGTTCCTTCTTGTCATATGTCATACTGCAGCTGTGATACCCACACCAGGGAAGTTGGAGAATTGTGGGCGGCTGAAGCGGCGGACCTCCAACATTAGATCGTTCCCTCTGAACGATCACGAACATGACTACGATGCACAGCATGCCTTCGTCTTGAGCAACGTGCGGTTGAAAAGAATCCCCGCTGGTTCTCGAGTCGGGTTAAGTCAGTTTGCCAGTGCCTGTTGCTCAGAGCGGTGTTGTGTCCAAGCCTTAGTGCTGTCGTCGTGGCAGCCCGGCAGAGGAGACAACAGCCGCACTAGAGACAGGAGGCGTCGCTGGCACAAGCCTAAGGCACACCACAGCAAGACAACGGAATAGGTGCCCTGAGCGCGGTGCATCAAAAGGTAGTGCGTGGCCACCGCGTCTCCCGAACTGGACCATGGAGGTCTTTGAGAGGGCCGAGGCGCGAGCTGAGTGCTCTGAAGACCCCTCCATTCGGGCCGTGTCTTGGGGTTCAGGGTTGACGCTGGATCAGAGGATCGTTCGTCTATGAGTCAGATGCTATATGCCATGTGCAGACGGTGCGCTGCCACATTGTCACCATCAGCACCAATGTTGCCTCGTCGTTAGTTTCCTGATGCCCGTTGCCGTTGTGATTCTCAATGTTTGTTCATATTCATGGTGTTCGCATGTTTGCTGCACCCGGATTTTTACTCCAGTAGCCGCGACAGGGATGGTCGGATTCTCTAGTCTTCTAGGGCCATGTCGCAGCGTAACGTTGCGGCTTCATCGGGCACCCGCCTCTACCTTACTTTTTGTAGGTTCTTATTATAAACCCTAATATGGAATTTATAGGGACCCCACAAAAAAGCAGGGTTTGGTAGGTTAAGGTAGTTTGTTTCTGAGACTGGGTGGCAAGGGGAGGGGTCCATTGCGAGGTGACTTGATTGGTCCAGGTCAAGATCAGAATCGCTGAGCTCGCGTGAGGGACAACGTTGCTGGTTCAACTCGGAGCACCTGTAGTGCGAAGCTTTCGTGGCTCTCACATCCGCTGCAGGGCTTTGTGATTCAGTTCTGGTGGCGTACACCGCATCAAATGTGCTGGAACCGGACAGGTACTGATTGGAGGCTGGACCGGTGTGTTGGCTGCTGTCGGGATGAACTGGTGCCAGAATCATAGTCGAGCTTCGCAGAAACCGCCGTGCCCCTCGCTACGAAGTGGAAACAATTGCCAATCCATGCCACAGTACACGTCCGAGTGTCGACATAAGCCTCTGCGGATGGAGGCTCGAAGCCGGTTCAAGAGACAGGGCCTCAGATGGAAGTGCACAGCCTCAGGGTCGGTGATGCCGGAGCTCGGATGTGCTCATGCATGCGCCCTCAGTACACCAAACAATGATCTTTGTCTTCACTCACCTCGCGTTTTCATGCAGCTTCACATTGTGCAAGTCTGTGCAACATTGCTCCACCAGCAAGAAGCTAACATCAACATATTCCCACCACGGATCGTTATAGCAAGAACTGTTTCCACACGGCTAGGATGCTGGTGCGCACAGGTCGCCTCACGAAAGCTCTGCGCTTTCGCTAGCGCGGCGGTGGCAGCCCTGTGACCCCCTGCGGCAGGCGCGACAGCATACAGACCTAATCAGGGAGGAGTTTGCGGAATAAGATTCACCGTAGCTGCATTGACTGCATGGTGTGGAAAGCATTCATGTAGCGGGCCCACGCTGACAGAATTTCGAGGAGCTCATTGGCCCGAAAGCTAAGACCATGTCGTAAAATTCCGAGCAAATCCTAGCACGGAGAGGAACTGGCGCTGCTTCGACTAGACCCCAAATGCAGCTTTCAAACAGCGCAGTCATAATTATTAATACTTCGCAGCCCAAGCCCTACACTTCTAAGAGCAATTCCGAAAGAGTCATGGCCACGTGGGCCTAAACTGCGCACCACACGGGGCGAGCACGGTTGGCACCCCAGAACATGTACGGCACTGCTACGGGAGCACGATTTCAATCTCCAATTACGCCAAGCTCCGAAACCCCTCGGAACGGCAGACGAGCACGGCGCTGTGGTGGGAGCTCAGTTCATCAAGTTCGGGAGCACCAAGTTCCAAGGAATTGGATTTTGTAACGAAGTCAGCATGCTCGGCTGACGCGGCTTGGGGTTACCGGTTACCCTGACAAACTGAAGATATCGATAGTGTTGCCACCATGTTGGGGAGTTAGGGACCCACATTTGGGGTGGCGGAAGCGCCGCATGAGTCAAATGTGGATTCCAGAAAGATGAACTGATCGCTGGGGCCTTAACATGGTGACTTACGAGTGCAGATGCGCTGGGCTGAGGCAACATAGGAAATCTTGACTTCTTGACATGTCTTGATTTATGGAGTCTGCGGAGCACCACAGCGAAAGAATCGGAAGCCCCATCATCCATCGACTCCAATCCCTGGAAGCCCTCAACTCAGAGCGTCAATCCGGTTCTTGGACCTCGCGGGATCCTCTCTGAGTCTGAGTCCATTCCGCTTGTCGGCTGCGCAGGTGTGCAGTGCCCCGAGCCCGGCAGAAGGAGGCAAGATGAAGATGTGAGGGATTTCGAACCCGACTTTTCGCTCGAAGGTTCCGAGACACAGAGACGGCCGAGTCTACATATTAGAATCGAAACAAGGGTTGAGGACGAAGCAAGATGCCGTGATTCTGTTGCATTTCTCTATGCATATGCAGCTGTATAGAAGATAGATGCCAGTCGGACAATGTCATGCAAGAGAATGACAGGGCGCAATTTGATGGACTCCCACAGCGGCCGCAGAGATGAAGCCTTGGTCATGCTGTTGGTCTTGCTGACTTCTTATTGGGTGCTCACATCTTGCAACGGTGCAAGGCAGTGCAAGGCAGCGCAAGGGCATGCCAGGTCGGGGAGCATGCCCCGTTCGAGAACACGGCCGGCAACCCAGAAACTACCTGCGGCTACAAGCGTTGCAGACAGACGGAACGGTAGATGCTTCCCACTTCCCTCAACAGTCTGCATCGCATCCCCGTGCATGCCAAACAAGCCATAATACTAAGGTTTGGCAGTGCATCGAGTCGGCTTCCATCGCTTCGAGCTCAGGTACAGTCTTCTAGAATCTAGGCCCGCGCTGTGCGATTGGACGCTGTGGTGCTGCAGCACTTTGGCTGAGCTGCTAGATCCGCTGGATTCAAGAATGAAGTGTGAACATTTCGGAAATAGCTGAGCATCATTCATTCACCTGCGCACGGTCGAGACTCCCCGTTTCCATGCTTCTAGGTTGAAGTGCGGAAGTAGCCCGCGCTGTAGGCTCCACTTCCAGATGTGGCGAGACTCCTCCCTTGAAAATACGGTTGTTCTGTACTTTTGCTTGCGCAGGCAAGTTAAAGCCAGGGGTTGAGGTTGATGGTTTGTTGCAGTATGTCTCGATGCATGGATTAGCGGCAAGAGCATCTGAGGCCTTGAGTGTTCCCGTTCGGCCCATCTTCGCGGGTGCCTACTACGGCTGCAGAGGACCGTTGGCGAAGACAGCTACGGGCCAGGATGAAACTCTAACGTAGAGAAACCTTCAGCTGTTCACATAGCATGATGGTCAAAGTTTCTGATGAGCGATGCTCTTACTTACGACGAACACTTTGAAACTGCGTCCTTCAGCTTTGGATGTATGTAAGTGCCGGCCAGCCCGGATGTGGCAAGCTTCTCTCATCTTCTCTCAGTCTGTGGTGTAGAGAGTTGGCAATTTGTATGTAGTTCTGTTTAAGTCCGCTTTGTCCTTCGCAAGGACTTCCCAGTGCCTGTGCACCGGACTCGACGAAAGACTGGTTTCGGGCGTGGATGCGGAGGTGCCGGACTTTGGGTGGTGAGGATTGATTGCTTATCGTCAAATCTTGACATTTGGCATCACTATCATGTAGGATTTAACCACTAGTATACCTAAGCAGAGAGTAACTGTCCTGGCGTCCCCATCACAGTCGCAGCAACACTATGACAAATTGCCCTGACATAAGTACCCCAACCCTAGTCCAACGCACGTACAGCTGTGCAGCTGGTTGCCGCAGTTTCTGTTCACGCTTCCCAGGGGAGTCGCTGCACCGAAATCTCGGATGTTTAAGGGCATCAGGGCATAAGCCATCAACAGACAAAGTCTGCCAGGTGGCCGAAGCAGAGCGAATCTGCATTGGAGGCCCGGCTGGGTTGCCGCGATGTTGAGGCATTGTTGAATGATTGAGTGCAGTCAGGCTTCTAGCACACTTTTGCCATCCAAGCCTTCCCACGCCGGCTCAGAACTCTCCACTGTCAGGGGGTGCAGACAGAGGCAGATGCGCTCTTCGAGGCACTCCTGCCTGTGTGGATGGTGTTCGGCGGCTGTGTTCTGTCCGTGTCTGATGCCAGCCTGGACTTCGTCATTTCGTGGCTTCTGTGTTTGTGTTGCAGGTTGGAAATGCTGCAGGTGGAATTTCGCTTTGCTTTTGTGGCCCAAGAGCCCCAAGTGCTTGTCTGCCTTGTCTGCTTCAGAGGAGCATTGATTTTACCCAAGTCGCCGAATCCCCATAGCCCTGTAAACCCTTTGACCCTGTGACTTGAAGTGTAAGCCCCAAACCCGTTTCTCATAGGAGCCGGTTGCACTGATCGAGAGTCGCATCGCATTCCCGACCGCACGCAAAAGAAGATCCTACTAACACAGAGCATCCTACTAATACGGCCAGGTTTGGAAATAATTCCGATGTGGGATCATGGTCAAGGGCGCCACTGCCCCGATGGCCGAATCCCTTTCGTGACCCAAACTCTGATATCCCAGAGGCCATCAAGAGACATCCGGATCCGGAGGCTCAGCGACCATGCAATGCTCTATGATCTGTTGTATGCTCAGAAGTGAAGGTTGAGAGTTCACGCAGTCCGGAGCGCTTTGAAGGGATGGACATCAAATGTTGCCAGCGCAGGCTGCCCGCCCGGATATCCTCTTCTGTGGGGACACAGTGCTGCAGCTTGGCATTATGGGTGGGAATCTTTTCATGTTGAACTTGGTTCAGGACGCCCAGGCCGCCTCACATCGACCTTCTTCCCAGCATTTTTATCTCCAGCCGATAGACGATGTAAAAGGCCCTCAACCAGGCAACCCGGAACCCTGAAACAAGTGTCAAGGTTCTGTTGGCTCCTGCGCCGGCGAAGTCTGCTGGCCCGGCATGCCGGTTTCCACGAACTCCCCGCGCACGGGTCTCAGGGTTGGATGTTCTGGGATTCAGTTAGTCGTTGGGGTCTGGAGATCCTTTACGGTTTATATCGGGTTTGGGTCTAAGCAATTGACCGGTTTTGATTCAGCATCACGGGATAGGTCGAAGTGCTCTGTTCAGCATCGTGGGTGTTGGCATTTCCGAAACTCGCGACGAAGCTTTGGGGGTTCGTTGTAGCCTGTGAGCTTGCCGCTCGCGACCTTTCGAAGCTCTGATGGCTCGGAGCATCCCGTAACAACCTTCTCACGTGTATGCTGGCATCGCTTTCCGGTTCGTCGTGTTGGCAGTGCAGAACTTCTTGTGGAGCGCATGCTTCGGAAATCGAGCATGTAGTTGGGGGAATTGAGCAGCTGGTTTTGAAGTGCTGTGATTCTACTGTTGTTTGTGTTGAGCGGGTGCCTCTGAAAGCGAGCTCTACTTGGGGAACGGCTGGTTTTCGTCAAGTCTTCGTGCGTTATGATGCCAATGATGTGCGTCTTGAGCGGGAGCCTAGTAAAAGGTGTTTGAAAGCGCGTGCACATGGTGATTAGTTTCCAAACTGGCAGACTTTTCAGGGCTCCGGGACAGTTTCGTAAGAAAGTCTGACCGTGGCACTAGAAATCCTAAGTTGACGTCTGTGCCAGGAACGTGCTAGGAAGCGCGTGGCCATGTGGAAAGCGACGTGCACCTATGCTTGTGGTCTGACTTCAAACGCCCTTGTGTAGCTTCCCGCGTTCCCGCTTGACCATGCGGTGTCGCGACTCCATGCGCCTGGGGCGACATAAAGCTACCCCCTTGTAATAGCTAGCCCTGTATTCACAACCGCACCCGATAGAAACCCGGCAGCCCGAAACGGCAAATGTCCTTCAGATGCACAAGCTTTCGTTTCAGCTCCGAGGCTCCATGTCTATGGCATGGTCTTCTTGCAGTATGTTCCGCCGATGTGGAGACGAGAAATGCTGGAGGCAGTGCCTCTTGTGAGTTGTCCTGCAGTCCTGCATGCCAGACCCCTGGTTTTGCGATTTTAGGCTGTGTGTCCAAGGGAGTGTTTGGGATGCCCAGCAAGTTGAACTGACTTGAGAGGTTCGGGTTGAGACCTACTTTCACAAGAAGCAATGCTTGTAGACCCGCTTCAGCTTTTGGAGCCTGAACTTGAACTCTGCAGGATTTCGCCAATTGGTGGCTCCTTGAACGCAGCCCCGTCCGCGAGCCGGCAGGTGTCCAGATCGAGGCGTCGTGCTTGGATCTTGAGGTTGTGGACTTAGCAGGCACTTTCGGAAAATTAGGCAATCGTGGCATTGCAGTTGCATTTCTGGGTACTTACAAGTAGTCTCACAGCAACGAGCGGCTGAAGCGCTTCAGAGGTCTTTGCTTCCAGAGCTGCGGGCACGTAGCATTAGTCGAGCTTGCAACTCGACTCCTTAAGCCATCCTGACAAGCCTCTGAGGCATTGGGCCTGCAGCTCCAGTGGCAGATGGGCATCGCCCTACCTTTTGTGCCCAGCCACTCTCATGCAGCTTCGGGCCTGTAGCTGCAGGCTTCTGTTCAGCTTTTGTTTCATCACATCTTTCTCAGCAATACTTCTGTGATGAGATCGGGATAAGCACCGACTGCTCCGTAAGGATTCGTGATTTTTGCCGTTCGCATGTGTGCCGTCAGTCCGCAGAGCCTTCAAGCTTGCATAGGCCATGAGTGACGGAAGGAACCCCTCCATCAGAGTTTGTTAGCGTTTGGACTCACTGCACCGATGCCCAGGCACAGGCACATCGGATTCCGCCGGAGTTCTCTACCATGCTCCCCGGCCAGGCCTTCTGCGTATCGGTCTGGCGATAGTACTGGCCCTGAGATTATTACTAGTACCATTGCCATGTTCACAATCGTCAAAGGTCTTCTGCGATGTTTCTGAGGCAACTTCGTGCTAGCATGGATAGACATGTGTGGTCCTCTTGCTCTTCCCACGGTTGCTGTTCGACGACCACTACTCCGTTTTTGTTTGTTCCTTTCTGTTTCTCATGATGATGACTGTGATCGAGATGGTGGTGGTGGTGGTGGGAGAGATGATGATCTTAATCCTGGTACACGCGCCTTCCAGGAGAAGAGCGCTCTGTCCTGGTTCTGAAGCATCTCGGATCATTTCGCATGCACGGTCCTGGGAAGACTTGTTACGCTCTAGAGCTTGGGGCATGACGGTTTCATGGGGCTCGGCGAATGGCCCAATGGCGCCGAAGTCGGAAGTTAGTTATTGCTGTGCCGTCCTGACCATCTGGCAACCACACATCCCGAGGAGTGCCTTCTATGCACTAGCTCCGGGCAAAGTCTTTGGGGTCGCACCTTGGACGCAACCGCAGTGAACCACTGCTGCAGTACAAGCCCAGAGATTTATAGAGAAGTACCACTGAAAGCAAAAAGTCCCAGAGAACACGAGGCCTGCTGCAATCTTCTTCCAAGCCCTTGCTAAGATCACTTCAAATGAACCCGATAAGAGAGTCCGAAGCCAAGCTTGCTATTGCTTGTGATGCGAACATGCATATCTCTGCGTCCAGCGAGGACTGTATGATGTTGCAGCTTTTGTTGCTAGCAGGGCTGGAGTGTGAAAGCGTATAATCTTTTACGAGGTACTGCAGCGACTCTCACGCGAGAGCAGGCTATCCTGGAGCCATTGGGCCTTCGAAGGTGCTCTGCCGGAGAGGGTTGCATGTTCGGGGGTACCTGAAGTGCTGCTTGTGCAAGAACCTTCGTTAAGTTAGCTTTTTCGTGAGGGAATCGGTGGGCGGAGTGGGCGGGCAAGTTCTTGACGGCACGGCGGCATCCATGAATTCGTCAGTGGACCTAGGACCTAGGACCCAGATTGAGAAAGCTATCTAAGCAATCTCAGAGACGACACAGAGGTTGGTGAATGTGTGCAAAACTTGTTAGGCCTGCGTTGGTTACTCCTGGTCAAGGAACTCCGCTCTAAACAGTTCTGCGAGGCAAGCGGAACACCTTCCTGAACTTCGAAGAGATGGCATCGCATTCCTGTGCCGTGTGCCTCTGACGGGTTTAAGTTGTGTCGTTCGGAGCTCCGAGAGTTGTACTCTTGGGCTGTGGACTGCAGACGTTTGCTTGTCAGAAGCAGGGCGAGCACAGAGCAGCGTCGTCTGTTTGGAACCGCCTTGTGCGCAAACGGCCAAAGCTGTCACCCCAATATCGAAAGCTCAAGAAGTGCGACTGAAACCACGTCAAACTGCCACGGTCTTTGGATTTCAGATTCAGCATGGTGATTGCAAGCCGCACTTTCGACCCTATAGGCCCTGGATTCATGGCAGAAAACACGAAGTTCCGAGCAGGTACGTCGCCCCGGAGTTTTCCCAGCTTTTGCTGCGCGACCCTGGGCTGGAAGTCAGGCCCAAGGCACAAGGCTCGCACAAGGCCGACCGGAACAGGCTGCAGCATTGCAATGCGCCTTGCAAGTCTGAAGTCTGCTTCGAAGAGTTTGTGACGGGCGGAAGCACAGGAAGACAGGCGGCCATGCTTGGAGCTAGTTACAAGATGCTAGTCTTACAGTACAATGAGATACAAGTATGCCGTATGCTGCAATGTTTCTCAGAGCCAGACAGATTTAGATTTAGATGTTTCGCAAAAGCACTTGGAAGCCCCACACCCGTGCCGCCTGAGGACATCTATGGCATCGGGTTGCCTATCCTCGCTCCTAATCTTGAGTGGCATCGCAGGCCGCTGGACAGGTGTCAGAGTCATGACTTTTCGAGGGCTCTCTTCTGTGTTATTGTTCCCGGTCTAGCTAGCTCTTTTCGTTGATCAGAACGCCAATAACGGAATCGTGCATGAGCCAAGCTTGTGCTGGTCATGCGTTTGTGCAGAGATCTCACCAGTGACTGCCCGTATAATTGCGTAGCGAATGGCCTCGGGATGCCTTGGGCCTACGGAAAGTGGTGAACGAAGTTCACAAGCCAAGTGGCCGGGTGCAGCGGTACATTTCGGCAGCTTGCGTCGAAGGCTCTTGCAGCACATCTTCGCGTCCTGGGGGCAACTGCACAGCGAGCATGATATTGGCCGGCACCGGCCCCGTCCTGAGGGTACCTACGTGTGGTACTGGGAAACAGAGTCTCTGTGTCTATCGCAGCTTCTGATATTGTACGGTTCTGTTTGAACGTCCAAAACATTTGAGTTACTTATTTCGGTTGCGGAGGCCGCCTGAGGCGAGGAGTGCGGAGGCCGGCCAGCCCTCAGCAGCAAACTCGAGCAGTTTTGAAAAGAAGCCTCAGGCATGAGAGCTGGGCTTTCTGATGCAAAGATTCCGTGCTATCTTTATCAGTGCTGAATGAGTCGGTTTGCATCTTTGCAGGTCTCTGACCAAATGCTGGTGTGGTTCTTCATCTCAGCTCTGCGAAACAAATCACTACGCATGGTCGCGTGATGTCGCGCGTCAATGTCTGGGTCATGAGTGAAAGCTAGACGACGCCGCATACTCACACCGACACACCGAGCTTGCTCTCTACTGCGAGTTCGTACATCCAGGCCCTATGAACTCCGAAGTTTGCGCGGCCCACTGCCCTGAGCCGTGGCCAGGCGCAGTCGCATCAGATTTTCGATGCAGCCGGGCAGTGGCCGTTTCCTCCATTCTACAACCCTTTGGAGCAGCTTGCATGCAAGCAAATTAGCAGAGCAGCGGCAGTAGCAGCAGAAGTGGCAGCAGTAGCTGTAGCAGTGGCAGTGGTGGTGATGGTAGTGGTGGTGGTGGTGTCGTCGTCGTAGTTCAGAAGCAGTAGTAGTAGAAGTAGAAGTAGAAGTAGAAGAAGAAGTAGTAGTAGTAGTAGTCGTAGTAGTAGCAGTAGTAGTAGCGGTGGTCGTGGTCGTGGTAGTGGTAGTGGTGGTGGTGGTGATGGTTGTGGTTGTGGTAGTGGTAGTAGTAGTGGTCCTGCAGTAGCAGTAGGGTGGGAGTCATGGTAGTCGTCGTGGTAGTGGCAGTGGCAGTGACATTGGTAGTGGAGGTGGTAGTGACTGGTAGTGGTAGCGGTAGTGGTAATGGTAGCAGTAGTAGCAGGAATAGCAGCAGCAGGAGTAGTAGCAGTGGTAGCAGTACTAGTAAGAATTAGAGGTCGTCGCAGTAGTAGCCGTCGTAGTGGCTAAGTGGTATCGGTATTAGAGGTACTTGTAGCAGTCGTAGTGGTGGCCATATTGGTTGTAGTAGCTATGCAGTGGTGGTGGTAGTAGCAGCAGCAGCAACAGTAGTAGTGGTAGTTGTTGATGTTGTCGTTGTCGCAGCAGCAGCAGTAGAAGGAGCAGGAGTAACAGGGCACTAGACTACAGTAACCGAAACAATAATACTTGAAGAAATTTGTAGCACAGAAGGCCCCTGTTTCCCAAAAGAGCAGAACTGCTGGTTCATCCAGGCACCCACTGGAGCGGCTAAGATTTTGGCTGCCGCTAGCGGAAGCACCTTGCCTTTGGATTTGCGGACTTAGGTTCAGCCAGGTTTAGATCGAGGTTTCATGTCGGTGCTTAAACTTCGTCAAGGTTTGCGGTGTTCAGCTTAGGATTTGAGGTCAGACGTCAGCTGTGTGTGGAGCTTGTAAGAAGCAGCTTCTAGTCAGATCTATCCAGCAGCGGAGCTTGCTCCTTATTCAAGGTGCACCGCTATCCGAACATCCTTTATTTTCGGTCGCTGACGGAGTCTTGTCTTCAAATGTAGAGCGGGACGGATAGTGTGCTCTGTCGGACATTACAGGACAGCGCATCCCTGCCCACACCCTAACCTGTTCCTGTGCGACTTGAGACATGTCAGACATTGATTGAACCCCGTCTTGCGATCTTTTCCCCCAGCGGGCTCACACCAACTCGGTCTACCCGGTGTAGCCTATACCTACACTATACCTTCAAAGCGATACCACACCTTTGCTCACTTGTGAGGCTGAGGTTCGGACCATCATTACTGAAGTGTTTTTTCGGACTGCAAGAGCACTGGACTCACCAAAGCTAGGAACTCTGAAGGAAAAGCCAAGGCGGTCGTATCATTACTATGAACCATCCCTGACCTGGAATCGCCCATAGACCGGCATGAAGAACTACCGGCCTGGCCGCAATCGAGATGATACAAAGTTGATAGGAGTACTGAAAGCATTGAGGAACGATGATCACAAATGCCGTCATGGCCGTCGTCACCACCACCACCATCATCATCATCATCATTGTCGTCATCCTCGTCATCATCGTCATCATCATCATCATCATCACCACCACCACCATCATCATCACCATCACCATCATCATCATCATCATCATCACCATCAACATTGTCGTCATCCTCGTCATCATCGTCATCATCATCATCATCATCACCACCACCATCATCATCACCACCACCATCACCAGCAGCACCACCAGCACCATCATCATCACCTCCATCATCATCATTGTCCTCATCCCGCTGATGATGGTGATGATGATGATGGTGATGATGATGAGGATGATGCTGTTGCTGCCGCCCCTCTTCTTGCTGCTGGTGTTGCTGCTCCTACTGCTGCTGTTGTTACTACTGCTACTCCTACGACTACTACTACAGCGACAGCGCCGGTTAAGAAACAGTTAATTGTTCGTGAGGAAGGGCGCGATTTCTTATTGTTGAAGCGCCTCTTTTTTTTCAGTAAAAAATAGAATCGGTATTCAAGCATACCGTGGATTTCTTAACTCACATTTCTTAATTTGAACCCCCCCAAAAAAATAAGAAAGTGAGCCCCTCAATTTCTTAACTTTAAGAAATCGAGCCCATCAATTTCTAATTTCGCTAGTTTTTTTCAATATGACATATTAAGCCCTTATAGAGCTTCTGGAGCCTTCCAAAGCTGTTATTAGGGCTTAATACAGCCTTTATTAAGCCCTTATTAGGCCAGCCCAGAAACCACCAAAATAAACCACCAAAATAAGAAATTGAGGGGCTCGATTTCTTAAATTTAAGAGATTGAGGGGCTCAATTTCTTATTTTGGGGGTTCTGGGCTTGCCTGATTAGGGCTAAAAAAGGGCTTTACTAAGCCCTAATGAACAGCTTTGGAGGGCTCCAGAGAGTCTATAAGGGCTGAATAAGGGCGGTTTTAAGGCTTTGTCATATTGAAAAAGCCACCAAAATAAGAAATTGCGGGGCTCGATTTCTTAAGTTTAAGAAATTGAGGGGCTCAGTTTTTATTTTGGGGTGTCCTGGCCGGCGCAAGAAAGTGTCCAGCCTTTGGAATACGAAATCCAGTCCCTTTAGTTTCTTGGTTCTCCTTTTTGCGCGAACAAAAATGCAAAGACGAAATGAGAAGAGCAAAATAAGAAATTGGCACGCCGAGGTCAGGGTACGCTGGATTTCTTATTTTCAATTTGTGCATTTTTTTCGAAAAATATTTCGTCGCGCCGGCTGTCCGGCTCAATTTCTTAAACCAGTGGTTTCTTAATTAAGCAGTGCTGTTGCTATACTACGACGGCGACGACGACGACTACTACTACTACTACTACGACGACTACGACCGCAACGACCACATCGACGACGACTACTACTGCTACTACTACTTGTAGTTTCATGATTGCCACTGACCATTGGCAATACACCCAGCCCCAGAGAAGGAGCTTTTGGAGCTCGCGGAAACCAGCAACTTCGAGCGTCAGAGCGCTGAGATTCAGGCTGGGCTTCTCAGGAAAGTTCCGAATGCCGTGACGCCGCTGAATCCTACAGCACGGAGGTGTGGCAGGTCGACACATCACGAAATCATTCTGTCCACCATTTGGGCCGGCCCCAAACTGCAGTCTCCCAGCCTCGTCCAGGCCCATGGCCGAATCATTACGGCCAACGTTCGTGCCTTCTACCGCCGGGCGCTGGCCCAGCTCATTTCCGCGACAGCGCCCGCATCAGGAGGAGAGTGGCAGGGACGTCGGGAGAGGCTTTAGGACAGGGCGGCTAGGAGAAACTGGGAGCTCCAACCCTTGCTCTGTTTTGGCTGGGGGCTGCCTTGGTTCTGTCCTGATTAGCTTCCAGGGCTTCCTGTTTCGGGATGAAGCTCGTCGAGGCTCTGAGTCTGAGCACAGGAGTGCGTGCATTAGGGCTTGATGTTGCAGATTCCCATAATATAATAACAGCAAGGTCAGCGCTGCTTTGGTCCTTTGGGGTTTGGGTGTCCATTGTGGCGCTTGGGACGAAGTCAAGCCATTCGTCATAGGCATAGTTCCATACAGATGAGCGCCGGATCAAGTTCAGCCTACAGCACTCGCAACTGCCTCGAAGGATGACGCGGGATTTGCGCAGCACTGCAGCCTCGCCTTGTGAGCCCTTTGGTTGTGATTGCTTTGCGGAGTCAAGATTGAAGAGAACAGAGGAATCCGGTAAGGAGAGCGACGAAGCGGTCTATAGCTGGTCGCAGCGTGCAGCACTCGGCCTCTCCGTCGGATCGCTCCCGCGACTTCCGCGACCGCCACTTTGGAATCGTCGCCCCCTGCTTACACTTTGACCTCTCTGAGCAGGTGCGGTCTCGACTGCAGGGTTTATTTTGAGCATCGTTCGAGGCTTCTCGAATGTACAGATGTTCGACGATAGGGTCGCCAAGTTGCTACATGATGAAGAGTTTGCTAAAGCCGCCGTAGCTCTGTCGGATCGAAGTCTAGCTGCAGCTTGCAGGCCGCATCGAATGGTCCATGCGAACAGGCAGCCGTGCTGCGAGCACGACTACGGCAGGCAGGACTTGTGTCCATAAGCCTTTCGTCGGACCAGCACTGGTCTACTGCCTTTCTGATGGTGCCCTTCAATGGTGGCCTCGGGTCCGGCGAAGCTGCCCGGAAATCGAAAGCCAGTTCTTCTCTCCGACACTAGTTTGCTAGCATCAATGCGCATTCGCATCACAGGGAGCAGGTTCATGCGAGCTTTTTGTTTATGCAATTGCTTGCATGAGTGTGTCTTTGTTGTTTTGTCGCGGAAACGCTTGTGAAGGACCGTTGATGTGCTGTAATTACTGTCATTAGTGGTTTCTGTCGTTGTTCCGTTTGCTGTACGAAGCATGTCCCTCATTATGTGGCGTGACTGCTGCAGACGGCATGGTCATGAGTTTAACTCGCAGAAGATGTAAATTCTTGAATGCTTGCAGGCGTTGGGCTTCTCGGAGGTGCACCGGACGTGCAGGAGCTCTTTCCAAAGTGGGGCAAAGTTCAGTCAATTTCCCAGCCCCGCGAGCTGCTGAAACTCGTGACGAACTTTGAAGCCCTTAAGCAGGAACAATGTGTTCAATATTATAGGGCATATTCCTTAATGAAGTGGGGGCTGAATCTCTGGGGAGATGTTAGCGGTTAACATGAAGCACACATGCACAGCTTCTTCTGTTTCACTCGGCGAGTGGTCAAGCTTGCCCAGTGAAGTGTCCACGCGTGTGTAGTTTGCGTGTGTTTGTACGTGGAGCTGCGGCTACCTCGACTGTCAGTAATTTTGATGTGAAGCGGGCAGTGCTGCACGTTTGACTACCAGTGCCTTGCTTGGTCAGGGTTTTCGCAGTCCGCAGTCGGTCAGTCCGCTGGTCAGTCAGTCCGCTCGGTTTACAGCTGACCACGGGAGCTGCTAAAGAGCAGAAGGAACAGCGAGGCCGATGAGACGAAACGAAGCTGATACACATGGCATGTCATGGCATGTGCATCCGCAAGGTCTTGCCGCTTTGGGTCTTTTCCTCAATTCTTTAGCTCAAAGATGCTTTGGCTTTTCGGCCAGCGGTCAGTAACTGCGATGGACGGCCAGGAGACGGCGATAGAGCTACGAACCGTCGGGAGCGCGACAAGCAGAACCTTGGTCTGGGAAGAGTTTTCGCGGGCTGTTTACCGTCTTTATCCAGGTTTCTCAGAAGGAGCGCTGACTCGGCTTCGGCTCGCCAGCCCAGGCACCCGCTGAACGATTCCTCGGCACCGCGTCTTGGTTCAAGGCGAGGACTTGGGAATCCCCCTTCCGGGTGGTTGCGGATACGGTGTGCACACAGTCTTAGTCAGCACACGTCCCCCTCCAGTGGTGTGGAAGGCCCAGCCTGCATGGGTGAGCGGTGTGTCTCTTAGCGAACATGAGCATACGGCTGTCGGTATTTTGTGGATAGGTTTTTTCATGGTTTGCATTCTTCTATGTAGAGAACTTCTTGGACCGCACAGCCGCCTCTGCTGGCAGGAAGAACAACAGGACGATAATGCAACTCCAGGTGTTGGACATCTGAAGAGGCTTCCAGCTGGTCCTTCCAAGCGAGACAACTACAGGCTTGAAACTCTAGATGCTGTAGACTAGGGACTGTAGGGTGGTGCGACTTGAGCGTAGAACTACGAATGTTGACAATTTTGGCATTCAAATTTACAATCTGAGTCTTGAGCTGGTTTCTTTCTATCCCCGAACTGGCTAGGACCAGGGTAGCAGACAGCTGCAGCAACGGATATGCAGGGCCACGAGATCCAGGAACGCTCGTATTTTTATGATTGAGTTTTGGAACTGGGACAGCCGGCTGTCGGACTTGTCTGGCTGCTCTTGCAGCGCAGCTTGGGCCGCAGGAGGTGTAGTGCTGAGCCTTGGTGCTGGTGGTTTGCATCACCAGCACCTTTTGCTTAGCGTCCTCCTTGCGTGTTCTTCCCTGGCAAAGCGGTGTGGATGCAGCCAGACTCGTTCGACAGCCGGTTTTCCCTTCGTCAAACCTCCACCCTGCTTGACTGAATCCTGAGCCATTGCAAGCCTCGCTGGTCCTGGACCAAGCCCGCGCCACCGTCCCTCCGCCCCATTGATTCTACATCAATGGAGGTTTGAAGCCTTGTGCGTCTGCTTGCGCCTCGAGTGTGCTGAGTGTAGGACGTTGCGTAGCGATCCGTCCTCGTGGGTATTGCCATCTCTTCGTGGGAAGCTTGACTTGCCAGCATCGCACCATGCCGCCCGCCACGCGCCCCCCGTCCTCAGCCCTCAGCCCCACTGTCCATGAAGCCTGACACTGCTCGAGCCCGCCACTTTCACAAGGCAAGCACGGGCATGCACATGTGCTTGGGCACATGCGCATTGCGCACGCTTGCCTTGTGAAAGTGGTGGGCTCGAGCAGTGTCGGGCTTCATGGACAGTGGGGCTGAGGGCTGAGGACGGGGGGCGCGTGGCGGGCGGCATGGTGCGATGCTGGCAAGTCAAGCTTCCCACGAAGAGATGGCAATACCCACGAGGACGGATCGCTACGCAACGTCCTACACTCAGCACACTCAAGGCCCAAGCGGATGTATGGGGTGTGTGGGCATGGACTGGTGGGGCTGCAGCGGCTGTGATGGATTTGGGAGGGCGGGGTGTGGGCGGAGGGACGGTGGCGACAGCAATTTCGCACCTATCGGCATATCATATCTGGCTTACATGAAGGAAATTGAAATTCTTGTGGCCTTGCAGCCCCAATTGCTTTGTCGTTGCAATCAGTTACCCGGATGTGGCAGAGTTCTACAGTGATTCTACAGGTGGTCTACCAGACGTTCCTGTGGAGACCCGGGACATCCAAAACGCCCTCACGCACTGCCGTGACTGTGATTGTAACAAAGCTGTTGAACTTGTGCAGCTCCACGAGTCGCACACATCTGGTGGAACTCTGCGGCCTTTAGAAAGTCATTATAATCCATTGAGCTCTTCAGAATATGTTGTTATCGAAGGGTCATGTCATGGAGAGTGCCGAAGTTTGCTTCACCTTCGTGGGGAGCGGAATCCTGCCGTTTCCGGCTGCAGTATCTCGTCTCAGCGCACGATGCTGAAAAACCTGGCCACGGTTCGTAGGGCATGTCGTGTCTAGGGACCGATGAACTATAGCTCAGTGTCCGGAGTTGCGAAGTATGCGAAGTGCAATCCGTTTTGCAATGGACCGAACTGTACTGGCTCCGTGCCTTTGATTTGCGGGGCCCTGCTCCGGCTGCCGGGTCCGGGGTCCGCTTGCTACTCCAAACCGCAATTGTCCCTGCCGCTCGTGCCACTTCATTGACAAGTTCTCACGCTTGCGTGACCAGCGTTGCACTGCGTGCTCACAAGGGTTGAGGCAGGTCGTCCAATGATCGTTCTACACTACATCATGGGTTGACCTTACAGGGCCACTCACGTATGGACATCAAGCCGTTCTGTAAAGATCTTGCTTCAGCAACTGGCTTCCAACAGATTGCATAGGACTCAGGTACACCGCCTACAGGCGTCTTCCAATCCCATATGTGGCCCTCCGAAGTTCAGTACAATGTGTTCCCGAGCCGCTGCGAAGCTATGGCACCGCGAGGGGCTGCGAATGCCCAGGTTCACAGGGGTGTGCACTGGTTCAGGGTCGCTCGCACGTCTCTGTATGCAACCCAAGGAGATCCAAGGAGTAAGTGCACTGCCCCAAGCACCATGCATGTGCTTGGTGGTCGATCAGCGGATGCAATCACAATCCGGTCAGATGTTCACCTTGTCGTATGTTGCATGCCTCAGCTGAAGCATTCTTGGCAGGGGACGACAACTCCTATTGCTCTCTTTGCTCGCTATGGTGCTTTGTCCCAGGCAGGCAGACATTGGAAAATAAACAGAGGGTTCACACCGCCATTAAAAGCGTCTTGCTCGACAACGTAGGAGTCTTGAGGGAGAGCATCTGTAGACATTCAAACGTGGCTCAGTTTCTCGATGCAGACTCAATGCGATGATGTGAAGCAGCTACATTTCTTGGCCTGCAAAAGCTCCGTGGACGACGGTTTCTGATTGTGTGCTGGCTCCAATAGCAGGGGTTCCTTGAATGCAAAAATGCAATATGAACACTGAGAGCATCTTTGCACTGCAGAGACAGAGACAGACATGGGAGGCCTCCATCGGCCTTTGCAGAGGTCGCGCCAGGCCCCAGTGCTGGGGAAGGGGGAGGTGGCGAGGCGCCGGCGTAGGCTACATAGGCTAAGGGATCAGCCTCTAGAAGCACAGA